TTTGCACTTATTTGCAGATATGATTATTTGTGAGTATGTTTATCATTTACAGGCATTGGTACTCCTTATTTTTATGGTGTTGGGCTTCTCTTGTTACGATGCATTTCTTAAATTTAGGGTTAAGCACTAAAATGAAATAGATAGAATATTGGGCTTATTGAACTTTCTAGTTGCTGTGCGCTCATTTCTCTCTGTAGTCTATTTATATCTTAACTTAGCTTGCTCCAACTACAGGCTACAGGTTTCTCTTCTCCTAGGAATCCTAACTTGGTAAAAATCAAATGAGGTTTTGCTAAATACATGATATTATTTTCTTCTAATTTAAGAAGTATGGATATTTGTACACTCAATACATACTTGTATTTGATACGTATCCAAGTTTGAATGCTCTTCGATACATACCAGTTACGTGGTTAATAATAATTATTATTATTACTTCTTTTAAATTTTAAATGCATATCAAATACGTTTTTTTTAATTATTTTCAATACATATAAAAAATGTTAGGATACGTAAAGAAGAAGCATTGTATTGGTTGTAAACTCTTTTGGAACTCATTATTATTGGTTATAGATTGAGAATATTTTTTTACTTAATAGATAAATATTGTTGTTATTAATTAATTATTGAAAATGTAATATTTATTGAAAGTGCAAAATTAAAATTTTAAATTCATTGACAATTTTATTAGAAATACATGTAATTTGCTTTTGTTATGGAGAAAGTTAAATCTTTATTTCAAAGGAGAATTTAAGATGTGAGACATTGTCAGAGACGTATTTGATACTCTTGAAAATGTTGGACTGTTTGAAGTTGCTAATCTATCATTAGATGAGTCACAGTTGGAGAATATTATTTTTAATGATAACGAAGATGATATTGATGTTGAAGAAAATGAAGCTGGGACAACTAAAGATTAAAATATAATGCTTTTGTACTTATTTTATTTTTATTATCATGCTTCTATTTTAATATTTTTTATATCAATGAAATTATGTTTAATTTTATATATTTTATGTATCTATACAGGTATTTATGTATCCTAATTTTTAAAAAAAAAAAGTTGTATCGATATATCAGTATCGTATCATATTGTTTCATAGCGTATTTGAATTACGTATCCGAATCCGTGCATCTTAGCTACTAATATTTAGCAACAACTAGTGTATTAAGAAAATTTTGTTCCTCACCAAACATTTACTTGCAATTCCATTTAAAGCTGGTGAAGGAAATGCTGATTGATATGAGAAAAGGCAAATGACATTTCACGTGTGTACTGCAAGTGATGGAGATTTATCTTCCATTGTGCCTGCAATGTGGCTAGCACATTCAGCTGTGCCATAAAAATATCTGTTCTTTTATATAATGTTCCATTTTTTCTGTTTTATAGCAGAAACTGAATTATGATTCTCATGAACTAATCTGTACCACTGATCTACTATGATATGGGTGAATTTCGATCTTGGCATTAGTCTTCGACTTTCAATTAATGATTATATGAAATGTTTTATGAAAGAAAAAGAAATAACTAAACAAGATTGAGGTAAAATTAGTGTACTGCTTTAGTTTGGCAGGTGATGTAATCTCTGTTCATGAAAATAATCTGATAGTACAGTACTGGTTTGTCAGACACGGGTACAAGCATCAACTATTACCTTTCCAGAAATTTTATCGAAGCTTCCTCAACTTGGAGTCCGTGGGATATACGCGGGGTCTATTCCAGCTATTCTAGGTCAATTTTCGAGGTATTTTACTGACATTTACTACTTTATTTTTCTTACAACATCCTCTTTCTAGATAATAATTCAGTACAACATGGCAGCCATGGTTTGCGAACTGGAATTTTTGAAGCAAGCAGACTTGTTTTAATTAATGTTGCACCAACACTTCCAGACATACAGGTGAGGGTTATGATGGTAGATTCTGGTTAGCTTCTTTCTTTTCTTAGTGATACTGCTACGATCAAGTTTTGAGCTAGCTTCCTCATTTGTGTTGGTAGAAATGTTATGAAAAATATTTTTGGATTCTTAGCGATGGTAATTTGCAGTGTAAGTTGCATCTGTCATAGTTATGTCTCATCTAGACGAGGACACGATGCTTGATAATATTCTGAGATCACTCTCTTTTCTTGAAACTCTTGTTGCGATAACTAAAATTTTAGCTTTTATGGAACTGTTATCATGAGCTATGTTTATTGAAGTGGCTGTTTAAGCTTGCACTATTGCTTACTGTGACAATTCTGTCTAGGTTCAATCTGTAGCATCGTTTTGTAGCACTTTTCTAGGGACGGCAGTGCGAATACCCTGTGAAGTGCTGAAGCAAAGGTTGCAAGCTGGTCTATTTGACAATGTGGGGGAAGCTATAACTGGAACTTGGCAGCAAGATGGTTTTAGGGGATTTTTCCGTGGGACTGGTGCCACTCTGTTTCGGGAGATTCCTTTTTATGTTGCAGGAATGGGCCTTTATGCTGAATCAAAGAAGGTAAGTTTAATCCTAATTTAAAATCAGATATTTTCTTGTACTTGGTTTCTGATCTTTGTCAGGTAATTTGCTCTCTTAGCTCTTGGTATACCACGCATTTAGGGTTATTTTAAACTTCTTCAATTATTTATCTTTCGATTTAACTGAAGAATTTAAAAAGATAAGGGGGAAAAAAAGGGTCCTGTAAGCTCATCAGAGATGCTGCTTAAAGGGAGCAGTTTTGCTGGGTGCTGAAGTGCTACTTTACTCAGTAGCCTTTTACTTTGGTGCCCGGTTCGCTGGTGAATAAAGGTGTATGGGAGTAATAGATAAACTGAACAGGATCCTCTGAGATATACGGTATTTATTAGGATCAGTCCACCTGGTCGTACAATTGTTGGCACTCGACCAACAAAAGAGATAACTAGAAGTTATGACTTACAGAAAATGGGAAAAGATGTTCTAGATTCAATTGATACGAGAAAAATCAACAGTAATCATTGTTCATTTTAGCCAAATCGATATAATGTTAGAAGACTGCATAATCAAGGATTTGCCTATTAATTATGAGGTAATCACTTAGCAAGAATCTGTATGGTTCCTTGCATCTAATGATTATTAGTTATTTCTGTTCTTGTGAACTTGATAAAGAAATTTTTTATCAATATTGGTTTTGACGTGATCTGATAAAGAGTAAGCAGCTAATTTGTAGAATGCGTACTGGCAAGAAATCTCATTAATATAAGGCACGTCACTGGATCTTTTGGACCGGTCCAGTCTCAAGTGCAAGTCACTGCTTATTTCTGAATTTAAATAATTTTAAGAAAAAGAAATTACTTAGGTTGGCTTTCCAAATTCCCAAGGTTAGACGGACTGCATACCATGGAACACAAA